TGCTGATCTCATCTTCTTTCTGATGGGACTCGATCTGTTGTTGGTGTAGGCAGCCATGATCTTTTATTTGGAATCCCACAATGTAGGCAGGCTATTTGATGGAATGCCAAATTTCTTAAGCGATATCAAATTTTGATCCCTTTCCTGTCTTCACCTTATCAAGTGATCAAGTTATCCCCCGCATAAACCAGGTTCTTCGTCGGATTGTTCAATCGACTTAACATTTGAATATGGTTATGATTTTTGCTGAGGAATGGTCCTGATTTGATAGTTACAGGATAGCTGACACTTACCCTACACAAAACTGCTTGAGAAGCTTAGCAGTAATTACACTATTGTTTGATTAAATTCTGGATTTGCTATGCAGCAGTGACAGTAACGTGTGATCACCTGTACAACATCTAGTACTTACCCCTATTGTGTTTGTAACCGTGTAGTGTTCTATTAATTGTGCTGGACACCAGCGCATGCAATCGTTGACAAAGAATGTTAAGTAAAACTGTACTTTTCTTGGCAGTTATTAATAATGAGACAAGAATCTTATTTACAATAAAACATCTTTCTACAGCATATTATTCCGACTGCCTACTATGTGCAGATACTGTCAGTATTACAAAATCTGATGACGAGAAACGTCAGCATTTATCAATGATCTAGTTGACGGACACAAAATCAATACTTATTATTCATTTCAAGAAGTTTTATTTCTCAGACCAAAATTTTACTATCAGAGTTGTTCATGTTTTCCAATTTCACGTTTAGCGAGCTGTAACTACTATGACAGAGAGTTTGCTGGTACCATTAAAACACATCGAGTAAGTTAGGGGGTATTCAAGTTTACCGTGATATAACGACTAAGACAGAGCGTTTGCCAGGACCATCAAAACACATCGAGTAAGTTAGGGGGTATTCAAATTTACCGTGATATAACGACTAAGACAGAGCGTTTGCCAGGACCATCAAAACACATTGAGTAAGTTAGGGGGTACTCAAGTTTACTGTGACATAACTACCAAGACAGAGAATTTGCTGGTACCATCAAAACACATCCAGTAAGTTAGGAGGTATCTGACTATCTTAGTCATGACTTTCTTTGATCGGTAAACAGGTATTATGCGAGCAGGTGTATCATTTTGTACTTCTATATGATGTGACAAAATTGTCTCACATTGGATATGAGAGAGTCTTCCACAGTTTGTCACAATATAGGACCATCAAAACACATCGAGTAAGACACAAAATCAATACTTATTATTCATTTAGGGGGTATGTTTTCAAATTTACCGTGATATAACTACTGAGATAGAAAGTTTGCCAGGACCATCAAAACACATCGAGTAAGTTAGGGGGTATTCAAATGATTACCGTGATATAACTACTGATATAAGATAAGAGAGTTTGCCAGGACCATCAAAACACATCGAGTAAGTTAGGGGGTATTCAAATTTACCGTGATATAACTACTGAGATAGAGAGTTTGCCAGGACCATCAAAACACATCGAGTAAGTTAGGGGGTATTCAAATTTACCGTGATATAACTACTGAGATAGAGAGTTTGCCAGGACCATCAAAACCCATCGAGTAAGTTAGGGGGTATTCAAATTTACCGTGATATAACTACTGAGATAGAGAGTTTGCCAGGACCATCAAAACACATCGAGTAAGTTAGGGGGTACTCAAGTTTACCGTGATATAACTACTGAGATAGAGAGTTTGCCAGGACCATCAAAACACATCGAGTAAGTTAGGGGGTACTCAAGTTTACCGTGATATAACTACTGAGATAGAGAGTTTGCCAGGACCATCAAAACACATCGAGTAAGTTAGGGGGTACTCAAGTTTACCGTGATATAACTACTAGTATGACATATCACAATATATGTGAACAGTCAATTTCCAATTTCACAATAACTGATAATCCATGTATAGGTCAAGCTTGGTTGCATTCCCATCTTTAATATAACTCACCTACCACCTATACTTGTTTCAATATTTACCTGGCTTTGTCACATAAACCGGTATGTGTGTTTGTGTCTTTCTTTTTGGGTGGTGGTGTGTGCATGTGTGAGGGTGGGTTTGCTAGAGTCTATCTCCATATTGTAAAACTGTATATATATGATTCGGTGTGAAACGGGGTAAGTGCTGGTGTGACAGTGGGTATGTACTGGTGTGACAGGGGTATGTGCTAGTGTGACAGGGGGTATGTGCTAGTGTGACAGTGGGTATGTGCTGGTGTGACAGTGGGTAAGTGCTGGTGTGACAGGGGGTATGTGCTGGTGTGACAGGATGCATGTGCTGGTGTGACAAGAGGTAAGTGCTGTGACAGTGGGGTACTGGTGTGACAGTGGGTATGTGCTGTTGTGACAGTGGGTAAGTGCTGGTGTGACAGTGGGTATGTACTGGTGTGACAGTGGGTATGTGCTGGTGTGACAGGGGGTATGTGCTGGTGTGACAGTGGGTATGTGCTGGTGTGACAGTGGGTATGTACTGGTGTGACAGTGGGTATGTACTGGTGTGACAGTGGGTATGTACTGGTGTGACGGGGTATGTGCTAGTGTGACAGGGGTATGTTTTGGTTGTCTGAAATTGCTTCAACCCAACTAAAGGGAAAGGAATTCTAAATTTCCAAACACACAATATCTATTTCCCCATTCGGGCCCCACCCTTCTGTCCTTATAGGGTCAGCCAAACATATCATGGTTCATACCAAATTGGTACAGAATTCTGCACTTAAGACAGAAGAATGTATGTGAAGTCAATACTTTTAATTTCACATTTCCCCTCCAAATATTTGAAGTTCCAGTTAGATAATTCCATTTTTACAACTCTTTTTGTCAACTTCTAATCGTTTATGTATCAGAATGCTGTCAGAAATGTCTTCACTGTTGTACAATCCTGTATAACTACATGTTCATTAGAAATCAATAGCCACTTGTCCAATACCTTTTGAATTTACAAGTCATATTTCCCTTAATATTTGATCAATGGAAAGAATGTCTCAGTAAAGCTGATGATATTTACATTCTGGGCAGTGTAACCTGGGCAACCCAAGATATAGATCCTGATGATTGAAATACAAGGATTTAGCAAAAAAAATGTAATATTATTTTCATAGCATATATACACAATAGATAACTGGATATTTTCATGACAAACTTCACTCTTGGCCATACATCTTTGGAAAGTACTGTACAATTATCATTTGAAAGAGTTGTTACTATGTTTTATTTCCAGTATAGAACGTTTGATGGAAAGTGGTCAGTGAAACATCACTGCAAGTCATTATACGTATTGTACTCTACAGTTTCCTTACAGTAAGAACTAAGAATTCTGGTAGTCAGTGAGTACATTTGATAAGTACTACACAGTGCTTTTTATATAGCCTTCGTCAGTGCAGCAAATACATCCCTCATTTGACAGACAGAAAATGCCACCAAAATATTCATTTTTATACAAGCTGCACTCCATTTTTGTTTTCTGACTGCCAAGCATTCCTGTGACATGCCCGTCAAGATAAGTGGTAATGATGTATAATATATAGTGTTGGTATCACGGTTTCTGTAACTTGTTTACCAATGTTGAAGATGCTTTCACAGTATCATAAATCAAGGACATTTTTAATCAATATTTCAATAACAATTCACACAAGGAAAGCAGATAAATACCGGATAGTTCTAAATGCCAACTTGTAAAAAGAGTACGAGGCAATTTCAGAATAACTGGTGGAGAGCTTTAGCTACATTACCATATGTTTTCCACTGGACATTACAACTGATATGTATTGCATCAAAACCCCACTATATTTCATACTTATAATGACATTACATAGTGTGACTATTACATGATTTGACACAATATTTACCGTCGTAATTAATGGCATGATGGCAGTTGCAAAGGCAAACAGATTTCTATTTCCAATCAAATGATCAATTTTTCTACTGTACTTTATAGAACAAGATGGTCATGGCCCTTACTGGTCACCTGACATTTGAAGAAAGGATGGACAAACCACAGTTTGTAAATGGTGGTCTGACAAATCTGCTGAATTCAAATTTTGAACATCCTTTGAAATACATGGTAGGAGTTGTGCAATCATGTTACAAAATGGCTCCTGTGGTTACCATGTTGAAGTTTTGATCAGTCTGAAAATTAAAAATTTATCTCTTTCTTTTCCTTGACAAATCAAACCCCAAATATTTTTCTCATCAGAGTGAATGAAACTTGAATAGTTCCGTCTATTACTTTTAGATGTGTTTTGTTGCATTTTGGACCAAAGCAAACAAAAAAAGTTTTGGTGAGGACAATCTTGGGAGCACTTCATAAAGGTGTGATATCATTGCCACTCTTTAATTAGTCAAATGTTATATATAAACATACGTTCAAGTATGTTTAAATTGAAACTGTTACATATTTTTCCACAAATTCAACTGACCTGAGATGAAAGCATCTATAAATTATTCCCCTGTTTATATCAAATGCTGTACATCTTTCTATCTCTTATTTTCAACATACACTAAGCAAAAGCAGCCTTCATTTTCAATGACATGCTTGCTGCAAAATATTGGCTGGTTCCGTGATATTTTAGACAAACAGAAGTTATACGACAATCAAAACATAATACTACTCGTAAATTTGTCTATTGAATATGTCATTAATTACCTGCATGACCGGTACTCGAATATATTCCTCATACCAATGACATGGCCTTGAGTAGTTTGACTCAAAGGGGTTTTACTAGAGATGAGAATCTAGCTAACATTAGTAACACCTTATCTGTTGTGATGACGATGACGACGACAACAATGATGATGACGATGATGTTATCAGGATTATGTGATGACATTTATGTTTAGGATATGTCACGAGGAGGAGATGGTAAAGGCAAAGGTAATGATGATAAATGTACTTACTATTGAGCACAGTCGATAAGCTGGTACTCGTTGGATCTCCATGAGGAGGAGATGGTAAAGGCAAGGATAATGATGATAAATGTACTTACTATTGAGCACAGTCGATAAGCTGGTACTCGTTGGATCTCTCATAACATGCCTGCACGCCCTTGTCCTTCCAGAGAATCTCTGTGTGCTCGTAGAATTCCTGTTCAAACAAGAGATCAACCAATTTATCAACCTCATTTTCAATTCAATAAAATGTATTCTACATTATATCCCATACCTTTTTTAAAAAATCTATTTTCACATCAGTACCAGGCAGTTTTCATTTGACACTTTCATAAACTTTTGTTCCATTTGAACTATTTCATCCATAATCACTTTCAGTTTTTGTCAGAAAATTCTCTAGATATCATTCATATGATTGGTATTCTGTACAGCACTGATTCAATGGGATGCCTCTAGGCCTCTCGGTTATTGAGTTGTCATATCGTAACCTCGGGACTCTTTGATTACTGTGAAAATGACTTTTAAAGATTTTAACAAAATGACCCTTGCACACTTGAAAGAAGATCAAAATGACCCTTGCGCACTTGAAAGAGAATCAAGATGGATCATATTTTACAGTCTATATAACTGATGAATTGGACATTGAGCAAAATATGACTTTAGAATTTCGATTCCCACTGAAAACTGGAAGTTGGCTCTAACAACTTTTTTCTAATGACTACTGATATCCATTGGTGGCAGTATGCAACTTACAACATATTGTCATCCTGTACAACAAACTAGGTAGCACAATGTTTTAGCATGATATTCATCATATAACATGCCTTTGGAAGTTTGTTTCACAAAATTATATACAAAAAAAAAGTCTCCTGAGAAAAGCTACTTAATCTTTATCCAAAAAGCGGACACAACATCATGGCAGCCATTTTGTTTTTAGACAAAGATTCTTTAACTCCCGAGTCCATTTTTTAGACCCATCTATGAAATGACCCATTTTGATAAACAACATGGTGGAAGGTCACAGCATTTAAGAATTGTTCCCAAAAATGGCAAAAAAGTGGTTGGGCAGCCTATTAGTGATGTGAAAATTAATGACAAAGTGTCACAAAACTGATTCATTTCCGGTTCATGAGATTACAGGCACCTTCATTAGGCAAATAGCTATATATATTATCCTTTACTAGACCCATACAATATTTTTCGACATGGCTCTACATATGTATGAAGAATGTCAAACTCAACGTCTAAACCAAATAATCATGTGATTATTGAACTGATTAATCACCTATCAAAACATTAAACACATGAAAATAATAGTCCAGCTGTGTATATGTTTCACAACAAATGTCACCGCATGTTTATGGATAAAATGAAAACTATGAAAATGGAAGTGTAACAAAGATTGCTGTGGAACATACTTTTTGGTATACAAATTGTAAATATTTTTTTTCCTTTTTAGCATTTGCTAAATTGAGCATTCTGATAGATTTAAATAGTTGTGTGACTTTGCTTTATCATGGGTTAGAAAACACATTTCAAAGGTATAAAATAACTATGATGATCGTATCACAATAGTAATTATACAATCAGAATACTATTGTGATAGCTCTTTTTTTGTCTCAATAGTCTGCACTATCGATTAGTCAGAAGTCATTGTATGGTTTAAAGAAATTTGACACTGTGACCATGAATAAGGTCAAGGTCATTTCTTTTCGCAAACTTTGTTAGGCTTCATCCTAACATGAGGCCTTGTTGTCACCTGAGATAAGCAATAATGAATATAGAGATCCATCATTTATACAAAATTGATTCCCCTTTACCCACAGATGTTTTGGATCACATTTGGGCAAAATCCTGGAGAAGTAGGATGTTAAAGGACTTGTCAAATTTCCCCTTTTGGGCTCCATGCCGCAGGCTCTGGACAATACTATTTACACAAAATATGTTCCCCTTCCCCTAAGGATGCTTCTGACCAAACTTGGTCAAAATCCCCCCTGTCTTCCATGACTAGTAACAAAACACTTTTGTTTAATGATTAAAAAAACTGCTGAGAAAGAACTGGGAAAGTATTTTGATGATTTTGAATACATTTTCTCTTTCTTTGTAGGACATACTTTTCCCCCCAATGTTCAGCCTAGTAAAAACACTACATACCGGTGGATATTTAAAGTCAGTTTGACTGGCACGCTCCTGCATGTAATCAACTCTGCTCTGGTTTTCAGGTTTCTCCAGTAGGACTGGGGGATTTAATGAGCTCATGGCTCCTGTGACAGTCTGCAAGAAAAAAACATTGCATGTTACATTGGCCATGTCAAATTATTCCAATCAATTCATGTTTAAAACAAGTATTAACTGTAACAGGACTGATTACACAAGACTCACAAAACTGCAGTGAACGAAACTCATTTAAGTACTCCAACATTGGAAAGGATGGTTTGCAGAGCAAAACCTTCCCATGAAAAATTGACACTAGCAGGGAACCCTGACGTACACCTATATATATGAAACTTTCCACGAACCCCTCTGGTCGACCATTTCATCCATTCAGAAAACGAAATATTGAAGAATATTGAAATTTCCCTTCATTAGTCGTCTCTCTAAGTCAGCAATTTTGTATAATCAGAGAATGGATGTCACTGGTCTTCACGTCCATTAAAAATTTCCAGTATATACTGCAGACAATACTACATCACTACATCTACTTGACAGTAGGAACAGTGTGTCTTCTGTTACATTTGTTTACTGACATACTATTACACAATCTTGAATTCTGAACCATTCCCTACTGACCTTACATCCATATTTAAAAAGTACAGAAAGTTCTTCTCTCAAAATCCCTCCAGCCATTTAGTTTATATGCTGCTGAACTGTCATCGGGATTCATGATTTTCACTAATTTATAGTCATGCATATCCACATACTTCTTATTTATGTTAGGATTAATGACACACAAATGTGTCCAACTGTAATGAATAAGTGTCATCCGACATTGTGTGTAAATCTCCAAAAATGACTGGAATCATGAAAATCTTTACCCCTGTTTACTCACATTCTATTTTACATCAAAAAGTGAATTCATAACAGTAAGTATCCAGGGATGTATATGTCTGTAAAATTCAATATAGCCAAATCATGATACTTTGATGCAGATTTTCTACTGATTTTAAATCTCTTTAAGCAGTTTAATGTGCTAAGGTTTCTCTCCAGAATGACGTCCATTTTGTTTCTTCACCATCAGTAAAGGACATCATGAAAAACTGGATTGTACGAGAATTGTTTGTACAACTATCAATCACCTCGTGTGGCTCGGCTTGTAAATTAACAAAAAATGTTGAGTACGGTAAACCTTCGGTCAGTTAAACAAAATTAAACATTGTTGAACCTGTTAAATTTATATGAAATTATGCTCGTAAAATTAAATCAGAGTTTGAACTCTCAGGTTAACATTGCCAAAAAATTAAATGTCTAAAGGTGTCCTCGCAGGGCAGGAAAAATCCGGTTGGAAATGGCATTTTCTCTGGGTTCAATTAAAAATTTACAGCCTTTTGAAACACTTACTGTACTGTACTTACTGCATATTATGTGGAGTGTGGATTGAGACTTAATACGACTACAGCTTCATTTTTTTGCTGAATTGTTATAAATCTCACAATTATTGGGTCAATATCAATGTGATTATCTATCAAAATGTGAAGTGAAACAATATTGTTCTTTGACAAAATACATGCCACCATCCTGTGGTCCCTATATATTTAACGACTGCATAGGTTGTAATACAGAGTACAGGCCTGCAGTTGTGTCAGCTGGCGCACGCATGATGTAACGGCAATTTTTTTCCCTCTTTTTAGCCATAATAAATTAATTCCCGATTCTCATCCCCATCTACCGATCGATTTTGGGCCCATCCCTATTGTTACTTCATAAAAAAAAAAAACAAAAAACAAAAACAAAGTCCAATATCCAGATTATTTCAGTCTAAAATCTTATTGCATTCCATTTCAAACTCCATAGAGTGTTAATTTTTCATATTTAAACATCTGGTCCCCAATTTCTTAGCACCAGTACAGAAATGCGTGGAACAAAACTAGCAAGTACTTTCAGTGATACAATGTGATATATAGATGGTATGCCCCTCCCTTCAACTGGTCAAACCACATAAAACATTGAAGTGGTAATATACTGTTCAGAATGTGAAATGCTTTATATGATTTACAGTGAACATGTTGTAAGAAGAAAGAAAAGAAAGGAATTGCAAGAAATTTTATCTGATCTGTTGTATACATGTGGCTGTTCTCTCAGATGTAGAAACTGAACAAGACAATACCTTGAAGTCAGTGTTTGTCCGCCGGAATCTGTCAAGTGAAGGGCCAATCATATTTTTTTCTGCTGAATTTGAGAAAGTGTGTTTCCATTGTGGCACTGAAGACAATGTGAATATGTCAGAGGACAAGTACCCTGTATGTCAGAACTTTGTAAACAATGGCAGAGTCTGTGCCATCAAAAGAAAAAGGAGATACACAAGATAGTAACTAATGTAATACATCACTGTATCAAACATTGATGACTGAAATAATAAACAGAATAAAGACTAATGGACATGAAGCTTTTATTTCATAATCATGGCATACTTGCAAACACAAAAAATTCTTGAAAAATTGAAGATAACTCATTCCCCTCCTTTGAAAAATGAACAAGAGGCCCATAGGGCCTGTAACGTTCACCTTGGTCTGAAAGTCTTTTTCAAAAGGCTCTTCAAGGTCTTCAAAAGTTTGATCTTTTTCATTCTTTTCTCTTCTCTTCCCTGTTTTTGTTCTTAACTATACAAAATTTGAACATTTCTCTTAAGAAATAACATAGCAAACTTTCACGTTTGAAATCTGACCGAGGGGAACGCATATACGCATTATGAGAGAGATTCATCCCATACTTCTTAAGGAATAGTTGTGACAATTATTTGGCAAAATCCAACATGGCCACCTGTCAAGTCATTTTGTTCTTCTGATCAATCCTAAAATCAAACTTGCACGACTGGGGATAGAGAAAAGCCATCCAGTACTTTTCAAGAGATAGTTATACAAATAATGTTAATGGATGGACAAATGACAATCTGTTGGACAGACAACAGAACACAGACACAGGGCGATTTGAATAGCCAATCATCTAATCATCAACTTATTAGTTAAAAAAAATTCCTAGCCAATCTACCTAGCTGACCATTTTACTGAAATTGAGAAATTTTTCTGATTATTTCAAATTCCTTTTTAAGAGTGTGTGTACATGATTTGGTTTCAAGATGCTCTATGTTACAGTTATTTTTATAATCCTGTGGAGACAATTCTCTGCCTTGGTACTGAGGTCCCAAGCATTGCCAGATATTTTCTGGGTTGAAAGGAGTGGATAAAAAGGAATGGCTATTTTTCATCAATCTGTGTATTTTGCCTCATAGCAAGACGATTTTCCAGTTTGTTACAGTTACCCTCATCTCAAGCAATATCTACGGAACCTGCAGGTTCTACCTTACACAAAAATAGCTCATTAAGAGCACACTACTAGTATCAGAGTCAAAGAGTTACTCTGTTTTACTCGCTCTGGTTGTGTGCACTTAATTTCAAACTCTATGTATAGGTTCAATTCAGGAAGTGCAGGTGAGTTGAGCTGGTCATAGTTGTCTTTAAGAAATTCTAGATGTTGATGGTTCCTCGACCTTGTTTATCCTGTAATAAATGAAACAAGAATCTGTTGAATACGTTACTTTTTAAGTTATTTTTACAGGAATGTTTCCATACTTGACATTATGTTTGTAAACAGTATGTATGTATCATTAACTGGAATACATAGCAAGTGGGTGCAAATATCAATTTTTACAATAATTTCATGTGTATTCTTTTTTTTAGCTTTTAATGAAACAGAATTTACATTCTAAATTAAAAGAAAGTTGACAGACGACAGATGCTTGATATCGCTAGCTCACCTAACCCTTCCCGCAAAGTGAGCTGAAAATCTACACCAGTTATGAATTAGTTAATTCTTTTTATTTTGTAGAACTTTTTGAAAACATTTAAACTAATAGTGTTATTATATATATATACATGTAAGATACACAGAATGATTGTAGTCTTACCTTGGTCTGGGATGCCTCGATAGCCAAATCTGGGAATTATGTCATCCATGCAACACCAGTTTGTAGAAAAGATAATCTTTTGAACCTAGGAACCAAAGTGGCCCGGAAACCAAAGTGACAGTTCTCTGTAGGAAATCTTCATTATCTTTGTATCAGCCCGACAAGTCATTGAGAATAATGTTTTGTTTGTTATGTTACTGTACTATCCATGTAATTCTCCTGTAGTCCCTGAATTATGACTGTGAAGAGCCCATGCAATGGAGAGAGTAGATTCTTCTGAACACACAACACTACAGGAACAGTTTCAACTGATTTTAAAACTGTGACAAAGTCCTCTGCTGCATTTATATCATGGTCTGATACTGAATATCTTATTTTACTCTGGGCATTGCTAAGATAGAAGAGCAGACTGAACAGTTGGCTGCAGCTCCCAGTATTGTTGAACATATCACAGCTACTATTCCATTGTGTCAACACATCAGTAATGAGGTTACATTCAGGCCACTGGGATTTGACATGAAACCCAACCCACAGTCCATGTATATGTATCATAGTTACCATAGTTGTAACACCCGAGAAGGGAAACATATATCTTCTATATATTATGTTTTCTTTTTTATTATTCTAATGGACCTAGATCTCAGTAAAACATCTATTCCCTTGGAATAAAAGTTTTATTTTTCCAATGAGTGGTGGATCGAGAAGTTGCAGTGTTTGCCAACTACATCTGAGTACCAGACATGCCCAGTGTAAGTAAAAGTTTGGTTGGTACAGTAAAATATGTAGTAACATAGGCCTAAGTGTCTGATAAAGCTTTGTTTTTCAGCAGCATTTAACTTTTTTCAGATTGAAACATATTGATGACATTCATTCTCAGCCACTCAAAGCCAATAGTTACAGCCGTTATCTCGAGATAAAACACTACCTTCTTTCATACAATGCTTATCGCCTATTCAACCCTGACTGTTCTATGCTGATGGAGATGGTGTTGTGAGATCATCATAATCATGTGTATAATATTTAGTGTTGTTTCTGTCATTAATCTAAAGTGTTACAAAAGTAATACTGTTATTACAATTCCCACAAGGAAGCAAATACACACCTGATAGTTTTAAATACCACAAAAAAATGCCTGGGAGGAATTTCAGAACTGGTCTGTAAACCCAAGGCTACATAAGAGCATTGTTGACTGTTTTTTTGATGATTATAAGGTATCTAGATACTTCCTTAATAATATTACCAATACAATAAAACAACAACATTGTTTTGGTTAAAAAACAAGCTTGAAGCTAGGGATCAGCATGGCACACAAAAATAAACTGGCATATGATCTTGGTTTTTACTACTGGCATACAAAACCATACAAAAACATTTGTCTGTTAAAAGTTTCCTCGGCTCGGTAAATGTTCCTAATAAACCTTATCTGACCTAATGTCCTGTTAAGATCTGTAAAGTTGGAGAGAAAAATGTGGTTTTCAAATGAAGATTTTGGGCACCTGTAAAATTTATTTTGGACCTGTAGAAATTTTGCTTACCTGCCCAAGTGACCTGTAAAGGTATTTAAAGTTTGGCACACACAAAGAATGGCCAAATATTGACCAAACTTTTTGGAAATATATGTATAAATGGCTAAGTAGACATTTCCCTGTCCAGGTGAAATATGATCATGCTTCTGATGGGTACCTCGATAACTATGTCGAGTTAATAAAGAAATGCACTTGTGGTAGTATCCAGTACCAATGACCGTGTCCACACAGATTTCCTTCAGTGATGTTATGTCTTGTACATTGTAGAAATTCCATATAAACATCAAGGTATACTTCAACAACAGCAGTCATCTTTTCTTACATGTCGTCGATGATTGGTATACGCTCTACCGTCTCGGCCCGATCCCAAAACCCAGTACAGGATTGTAATAAACAATTTAAATCTCATTAATGAAAAATAAAATTTGAAATTTTCTTTTAAAAATATATTTAAATGTTTTAAAAATCTGATGCTTTTAATCAATTCTTTACAATTTCCTGTTTGAATGCTGCATTAAAGTTTTCACCCATTATAAAATGCAAAATCGTCCGTATAAACAGACAAACAGGGTTCATTTTTGTGTCTATCATAAACAAATATGAAAATGCAATCAGTTCATACATAGTCATATTTTAAAAAACATCTTTTAAGATTGTGGCAGTCAAGAGCATATTACATGTTACGTCAACTAATTAACAATGTTAACATTTTTGTTATCTGACCATGTTCGCCTAGATCATAGTAGGCATCATACAGGTGCTTGTATTACATCTTGGTTACTGTTAAAGCATATTGGTGAGCAAGACTTGTACTGGAAATCTTTAGTGAATCATGTAGGATGTGCATCAGAACTATGTGAAGGATAGATACTTTGCTGGTACATTTGTTACACATATTAACATGTTTCTACTAGTTTTGTAGAAAGTTTTCAGAAAGTACAGTGTACATCTGAATGAAATTTAGTACTGACCATATCTGCCTCAGTGTTTTGTTTATTGCTTCATATGATGGAACAGCATGTAAACCAATGGGGCTATAGTATAATATGATATTTTTGGCTTTCTACAATGGAAATCAACACCAACGACTGGTTATCCATTTACCGTTAGGTTTGTCCTGAGCTGGCTATCCATTTGACATCTTTGCTGAACATTCAAGCACTAGGGGAAATGTTAATTTCTTGTATTTGCTGAATTACCTGGCTTTACTAAATTATTACTGCCTTTAAGAAGATTACAGGCACCCTAACCACACAAAAAATAAATAAAAATGAGTTGGGAGTTCAATAACTGAGTCTTTCCTCTTACCATGGACAGACTTTTCTATGCATTACTGATTTGCCCTTCATATACTCTATGAAGAGACGAGAGGATTCCTGTTTGGACAATCATGTCACATCCACAATTCCATAATGTCATGTCAATCACAATTCAATAATGTATGTCATTAATAGTAGTGTAATGATATTACCAATTTTCTACTTCAATTCAGCACAGTGGCATTGAGATGTGCCATTTCAAACACTCTCAACACTACAATTCAACTGAGCTATATTGTGATCAGCAGAACACTTGTAACCTGATAGAATTACATATTACACAAACATCATATATAAGTAGCATTCAGGTTATGAAACAGTTATCACAATTTCATAATCACTCTACTAATTATTTAAACTTAAAATTAGGAAAAAAACAATTAATATGTTATTTCCTTTGAGATTTGACTCTCCAATCATGATTGTATTCTAGTTGCCACGGAAAAAACATCCAGATCATTTTTCAAATTAAAATCAACATCACCTAAACAATAGTACATAAATACTGTTTTTAACAATGAAATTATGTTGATTGTTACTCATCCAGGCAGTTGTGATGTCAAAAAGGTAGGGCAACATAATTTTCACAGCATTTCAAATTTGTACTGCTGTCGACTCGTATTTCAGACAAAATACAATAATGTCAGTTCAATTGTTATAAACTAACAATATCAACATGAAGTTATGAATAGTCAGTGATACCGACATTTGAGAGACGGAATGCAAGTCGTACCGGGAAGTGCCAGTGTAAATTTCAATCAGACACTGGAAATGGTCGCCATTTTCCAAGATGGAGACAGCCTAATCAATGATTATGGAATGATGACTCCAGAAAAACTTACCAGTATTGCATCCCTTATGTTCTTTTTAATGTCTTCGATCTTCTGTTTCCGTTCCCTGAAATAAATTCAAGACACAGATTTTTATAAGAAATTGAATAATGCTGATACTTTTCTTACCTACCACCCCCTTACCAATGTTTTGATAATGCCATGCATACATAAACATTTAGCAATGGGTGTCAGGAACGGGTTATGTATACGCAACTACAGCCATCTAAATAATATCAAACACGACTAATATGTAACTCACTCTTGTCCAAAGCCATTCACGTGAAGAATTCTCATTTGTTTGACAATTGTCGATTTCCCTGATTCTCCGGCACCTGCAGAAGAAACAGAAAAAAAAATCAGATTACGGGTCGTACCACCAATGTTATGGGTAAGATCAGGTCGCAATATACCATGAGAAGAAAGCGGTTTTCGGCTCAAGAATAAAAGATACCTACCTAATAACAGGAGCCTATGTGTGGCTCTGTACAGTTGTTTATCCTTCTGTAGTTGTTTTTCTATCCTCTTATTAGCCTCTTTCTTAATTTTTTCATCCTCGTCACTTGGCCCGCCCGGTCCACTGCAACACCCCATCGTGAAAAGTAGGGACGAAATTTTGCCTGTTTTGGATGAACACTAGGCGTCGAATATATACCCTGCCGATTAGGCCTGTGCGAATAATTCTCGGTCACAACTGCGCCCTTTGTCACTATAAGGAGGGTGCAGTGTGCCTACACAACACTTAGATCCCCTTGATTCTCCAAACCGGCACAGTTACACATTGAAAAGGTTGTATTTTTCTCTTTAGCCGACATATCATCTCTGAAAACCATACGTCAATTTGACAGTGCTGGGTGGGGTTTAAGGGCATTATGGGAACCAACCACAAATTAGATTCGCAGAACACGGTGACATCACCAACCAAACCGCTTACGTAGTTGACATGATATGTCGATTGCTGAATTTCGTGGCTCAGGAGTGAACACTTATATTTTTCTTTGCATTTAAACGATTTATTGATAAATGTTAAGATTCTTATGTTAGATATCAGTGCACAGACCTTCTGACCATGACCAACAAGTAATAGTTTGCAGGAGCCTTATCTATCGTGCGATGTCTAACACATCAGCACGGCAGTTCAGCATTATTTATATACATTTGTATTAGGCCTATTATTTTTTATGGCTTGTTTACAGCAGCGGTACATTTCGATATGATGGCGTTTGCTTTCTGAAAAACAACTTTTCTTCCTTTTTTGAGGTTTATCTAGCTAGCTGTACTTCAGCAATATTTGTTACTGTTCATGATCAGGTGAAATTGTTCTTGGTCATTGCGTTGAAGTAACGGAGTTGCCCACAAGCATGTTATTTATTTATTGACAAGTCGAAATGTACCGGTATTTAATGATGATAAAAATGCAAGTAAATAGCTGGTTTGGATGTTTTGATTATTTATCAGCCTCACTGATCCATGGGTTTATATCAATAAAAAACAAAAAATATAATATGATACCTGTTTATTTGTTTTGAAATAATCTATGTATTATTTACTGGAAGAGCTTTAGCTTAGCTTAGTATAGCTTAGTAGTTACTGAATGCAGGCATTATGCCTCTATGTTCAGATCTGAAGCCTTATCACAATCCATTGTTTTAATATTGTCACTTCTGGTTGGAATAAAGATGTTATATGTTCTCTCTGCACTTTTCCAGTATTTATCAAGCCTATTTTCAAATGAGTTCAAAGTTGACGCCTGTACGATATTTTCTGATGGAGAGTTCCACTCATTTACCACCCTTTGAAAGAAAGAAAACTTCCTGAGATCCAGACGTGATCTACCTTTTTCCAGGCTGTAAGAATTCCCTTTTGTTCTTTTAATCTGAACTCTGCTGATCAAATTCGCAGATATTGAAAACCTCAATCATGACCCCACGGTCCTGTCTGTACTTCAATGATGGCAGTTTTAATCTTATCATTCTCTCAACATATGTTAAATCTTTCATTCCTGGTAAAAGTTTTGTTGCCCTTCTCTCTACAGTCTCTAATTAATTAATATCCTGTATGTAATGCGGGTTCCAAATACTAGCTCCATACTCCAAATGTGGTCTAACTAACGCTTTATATAGCAAACAGAATGATCATTCATCTAGGTATGAATAAGTCCTTACTGTGCCTAATATTCTGTTAGCTTTATTTACTGTTGTCTGTATGTGATGTCTGAAATTTAACTTGTTATCTTCTATCATTCCAGATCTTTTTCCTCTTCGTGTACTTGTAGTAGACTTTGACTTCTAATCCCATTAGTAACTTTATACAGGTGCAAGTTTGGTACACTGGAGTCTTTCCCAATTCTCATTTGATGACATTAATCCAGGTGAAATTTCAGCAACCATATATCGGACCAAACTTGGAGACTATCCAAATCCTGCTGCATGTTTTTCCTGGAATCACTGTATAGATTAGTATCATCCGCAAATAATAATGTTATTGAACTGACTACTTCTGGTAGGTCATTTATGTACAATACAAATAAGGTTGGTCCAAGGACACTACCCTGTTGTATACCACTTGTAACTGGTCTCCAGCATGTAGTTCCACCGTTAACAGATACCTGCTGTCGCATGCTGGTCAGAAATCCACCAATCCAATTCCTTGTCTGCTCGGATAGTCCATAAGACTCTAGTTTCCCAATTAATCTTCTATGCGGTACAGTGTTGAAAGCCTTCATGAAGTCCATGTAGACTACATCCGCATTTCCACCCTCATCTACTATTTCTAGTGGTCAATAACCTTTAACAATTAAAGGACGGTTGATCTACCTTTTGTAAAGCCATATTGAACTTAGTAGATGATTGTTGATAAGTTGGTCCATCACTCTGGCTCTCACTATTTTCTACATCAGCTTACATATCACACTGGTTAAGCTCACCGGCCTAAAATTACCAGCGTATTGTTTATCATCCTTCTTAAGTTCTGCAGTGATCTTCGCTTCCTTCCAGACCTCGGGTATGTATCCTTCACTCTGGTTAAAAATTAGTTTCAATGGTTCTGTTTTGATGTCCCTGACCTTCAGTAACCTTGGGTGAATATCATCAGATCCTTAGAATTTGCTCACATTCAAATCTTGTAGTAATTTCCCTATCTCCTCCTCTGTTATTTCATTATCTACAAATGATTCCTTTAATTCTCTGACAGGAAGTCTTGGTATATCACCATCTGGTTCCACTGTAAGCACACTAGTAAAAAAGTTGACTAAAGCATCCCCCTTCTCTTGGTCACTCCTTGTAACATTTTTCAATAACCCATTTTCTTTCTCAGCTAGTCCTGACTTAATTTTAGTTTTAGAGTTTGCATACTTCCAGAATGTTTTAGGATTTCATTTTACTTCCTCGGCAATATCCTGTCCCATGTTTTTATTTGGCCTTTCTTACTAAATATTTCACTTTATTTCTTGCCCTTGTATATTCTATATATTTCCTCGCATCTTTTGTCTCAATAAATCTTCTCCAGCACCTGTGTTTCCTGTGAATTGCTTTCAAAACATCGCCATCCAGTGGTTGATTATGACGTTTCTTCATCATTTTCTTCTCAGGTGTGTACCTTGCTGCAGCTTTCATCAGTATTTCCAGTAAGAAAAGTATTCCAGTATACACTTAATTCCTCTCTAATCTAGTCGTAGTTCCCATGATTATACAAAAGTTTCTTGGTAAAATGTTTAGGTTCATCACTGCTACATAAAAATTTGAAGTTGATGCAACCATGGTCACTTTTCCCCAGCGCACTGTTAACATTTACATTTTCCACCATGTTCTCCACATCAGTAAATATAAGATCCAGTAAGCTAGGTTCCTGATTTACTTGTGTTGGAACCTGCACATGCTGAATTAAATACAAGTCTCTAACTGTTCCTCTCTATTCTTGTGATTTGTTGAGTTGGTATGCCAGTTAATGCTTTTAAAATTAAAGTCTCCCATGATTAATTTATGTGAGTAATTTAACTCACTTGCCTTTGCAAATAGCTCATTCAACCTACTATTATCTTCCTCTGTACTATTAGGACTCCTATAAATGCTTCCTACAAGTAGTTTGTTCCCTTCGCTCAAATTGATTGATGCCCAAATATGTTCCTTATATTTGGTTTCCATGGTTACCTCTGTCGCCTTCAGTTCAGAGTCTATCTGAAAATCGGGCATGATTTAAAATATTTATAGTTATATTTATAGTAGTAATAGCTCAGTTGTCTTAGCATTTGCCTTTACTTAATGAGATGACGTTTCTCCTCTCCCACCCTGCCCCCCCCCTCAATACCCTCTTGCCCTTTCACAAAATACCATCTTCTCTAATACATTGGGACATTCTATAAACCCAGTGCCCTCTGTCGTCAGGGAGTAATTAATACAACTATTTATTTAGTACTTTATTGATTTGGTTGTTTTCTAATTATTCTGTAATTTCCGTGGAGGTGTTCTCTGTATGTCAACATGTTTTGAACAAAGGTGTTGTTTTAGGAAACAATGGCTTGTCAGTTATATACCGTTTCATTTGAACTGTGTTTTTTTCACCCACATTTTTTTCCGGGCCAACTGTTTGTCATAGTGATTACATTTTTTAACATAACTTGCTTGATAATTTTGTAAAATAAATAAAGTTTATATATATTTATAATTAATACAACTATTTAAATTTATTGATTTGGTTGTTTAATTAAATTTGTAATTCAGCACTGAGGTGTTATAATTATATAACCTGTTTTGAATATAAGGTGTTGTTTTAGGAAACAATGGCTTGTCAGTTATATACCGTTTCATTTGAACTGTGTTTTTTTCACCCACATTTTTTTCTGAGATTTACCTGTTTGTCATACAATACATTTTTTAACATTAGATGCTTGATAATTTTGAAAAATTGCTAACGTGATTATTTAAAGTGCTAAATGTTTGAAATTTCAATAGATATAGTGAATAATTAAATTTGACAATTCAGCACTGAATTATATAATTATATACACATGTACCAAATATAAATGGTTATTATGTAGGATGATTCAGCTCCATACAACACAAAGAAAGACTATGAACTGGGTTTTTTTTCTGGAATAAAGATACACAAACAATTGAAACAAAGAGAAAAGCACCTTATAATTTTGTTTGTTACAAACACTTATACCAGTAACACATGTAATACTGACATCAAGACCAGTATGTATTGTAATAGCCAGCAAAAGGTGGATGAATTCCACTATTTCATTATCATGCAAAATTTTGCAAGTTATTAGAATTTTAGTTCACCTGGCCCAAACGGTCAAGCTATAGGGATACCACGGTGTCTGGCGTCTGTCCGTCATCTATGAATGAATGTATTGTCATCAAATTTGGTCAGAGGCATCTTTACAGGAAGAGAACATATTTTGTATGAATGGTGTTACCTGGCTTGAGGAGTGGGACCAAACATGTGAAATTTTGGAAGTTCTTTAAAATCCTTGGGCGAAACAGGCAGGGCCAAATAAGGGAAGTAGAGCAAATTCTTTGAAATCCTACTTCTCCTGTAGAAATGAATTGATTGTGGTGAAAAGAATACGTGGGTAAAGGGATATAAGTTTTGTATAACTGATGAGTTTCGGCACCTGTAGGAAGGAGGGAAGGGACCCAATAGGGGAAATAGAGCAAATTCTTTAAAATCCTACTCATCCTGTAGGAATGATTGGATTTTGCCCAAATATGGTCTGTAGCATGTTTGGGTGAATGGGAATCAGTTC